ATAATCCATTCCATCCCACCCTAGAGGGTTTAAGAGTAAAGACTGAGCTAATCCATCTCATACTTAGCCACTGTTTTAAAAGCAGGGTTATTATATAAAACATCTCATACAGAGGCCTTCACATATAATTTATACTCTCACATACTAATAGCCAAAAACAATAGTGTTCCATGAAAGTAAAAACAAACAAACTGTATTCATATGCATTAAATTCATTCACATAAAAAAATTGGAAAAAAATGTTAAAGAATTATATATAGCTCTAGCCAGTTTGCTCAATGGTTGGAGCGTCAGCCGTGGATTGAAGGGTCCCGGGTTTGATTCTGGTCAAGGGCGTGTACCTTAGTTGCAGGCTGAAGTGCTCATCATGTACATTTAGGATATTACAGTGAAAATAAAGTTTAAACTTTTAAGAGTGTATTGTGAAAAAACTGTATTTCTAGATTGTATCAATGACCCAGAGTACTACGGCTTACTTCACTAAATATTTTGAGAAACCTGCTTTAAAACAGACTTCTCACCTGGCCACGTTAATAACTGTAACAATTATACAAGAATCGATATTACTTTTCAATACTTGACTGTAAGTATTTCTTATATAAGTGAACTTACATGGCTATGAAAACTTAATGGACTTTTCAAATCTGGGCTTAGGTGATCCTGAAGGAACTTCAAAGCTCTGTTTGCAACCAAAAGAATCTAGGAAATACTAGCAAACAGGCTCTACGAGCCAGTTTAACTAGAGCCAAAATATTTTCACTATGAAGAAGCGGATCCCAATGAAATATAAGCTCTTTAAGGGCAGAGATGCTTGTGTTTTGCTCCTTGCTGCATTGTAGCATCTAGGACAGTGCCTCCCAAATGGTAGACACCCAGTATTTTCATTAATTAATGAATAAGAGACCATTCCTGATATATATTAGGAGTAACCCAAATTTGCTTTATATATCAATACTGAATATCCTACCAACTGGAGAATCTGTTACTGAATGACTAACATGTTATGAAGCTAACTGGACTATACAATATACTTTTGAGTGAAAGGGGTGATAAAAAATGTTGGTTTCACTTTTGAGAAGTCCGGCTTCAATAATTCTGAAATTGCTCTGCCTGTTTCTAAAGAAAGCACGTAACAGGATTATGGGGACATAACATTTCATGTATTTCCAGCTTCTTAAACACAGTAAGAAAAACCAGTGCTAACATGCAGGTGCTGCTTCCTTCAGTCTCTGTGCATCACTTCAGGCGCTTGTCCAGCAGCTGCCTGGCAGTGCTAACAGATGGGAAACATTAATCTTCTGTTCAGTGTTCCCACCTTGTCCATCCAACTTCAAATGTAACTGCACTGAGCTAGATGAGTCAGCATCTGGTCTTTCAAAAGCTAGTGCAGCACTCCCACAAGCAAAAAGGAGAAAGTTCACACTTCAGAGGCCTGAACCAATGCCAGAAGTTCCCATGTTGCCTCAAGGTTTCAGACTCCCTGATGATCTTCAGCTCCTTGGATACCAAGGCAAAGACAGATCTGAAAAGCTACAGAAAACCAGGCGGGTTGTCATACACTAGACTGCACCCCAGGCAATATAAATGGTATTTGTTCACACCACGGATTAACTACTTTGAAGGATCAAAATGCAGAAGACAGCTACTTTCAACATTTAAGGTTTCTTAATAAAGCACTAAAAAATGTGAGTAAGTCATACTTTTATTTTTCAGAAGCAAAAATGACAAGTGGCAACTTGTCTTTGGAAAAGACATTACAGGATATCGGGTAATAAGCTATCTATCTCATAGAGACGGTAGCCTAGGAAAGACTATTATTATACATACAGCTCTCAAAGAAAGTCCTATTAAATAAATCTCAGGATAAAATGCTTTCAACTAAAACAACAAAACAAAAGCATCATCAACAACAAAAAGTTACAAAGAATCTGTAAAGTGTTATGTGAAGAAGGAAAAAGAAAATCTGGAAATCCGCATACTGGAAGTTCACTATTAAAATTAATCAGGCCCGAAACCTAAAACAGAAAAAATAAATACATTAAAGCACACAATTTTTTAAGAATCCAATGAGGTTACTATAGATGCACATTGCAATGCTTCATTTACCTAAGACATTTTTTCTTACTTTTGGAGCCCTTTTGTATACATTATAGAGAGATTATATGAATGACAATGCAGAGATCTGCCTTCTCAACAGGCCTTTAGAGTTTTAAATTTTAAATTTGAGTCTGGAATCTCAATTAAATGTCTCTATAATAGGCTACAGAGAATGGAATTGCTTTTTTAAATTACATTTGCTTAGGCCCTGGCCCTGTAGCTCAGTTGGTATATAGGTCCCAATATACCAAGGTTGCAGTTTCAATCCCTGGTCAGAGCACATGCAAGAATCAACCAATGAATGCATTAATAAGTGGAACAGCAAATCCATCTCCACCTCTCTCTCTTTCTAAAAATCAATTAAGAAATTTAAATTACATTTACTTAATTTTTACACATTAAGAACAATCTACATACTTTTATTTTTCTAATATATTTTTATTGATTTCAGAGAGGAAGAGAGAGGGAGAGATAGAAACATCAATGATGACAAAAAAAATCATTGATTGGCTGCTTCCTGCATCCCTACTACTGGGGATTGAGCCAGCAACCTGGGCATGTGCCCTGATTTGGAATTGAATAGTGACCTCCTGGTTCATAGGTCGACACTCAACCACTGAGCCACACTGGCGGGGCCAATCTCATACTTTTAAATGGGATACAATTTACAGTATGAAAATGGGTTATGTGAAACTATTCAACCCTTCTCATAAAGAATAATAATTTCCAAAATGAATAAGCTTAATACAAAATTATATAGTTGTTGGGGATGGGTTGGAGTGGGAAGGGACATGGAGAACATCCAGTGGAACTCACAGAGTTCTAGATGTGAGATTCAGTTTTACACCGACTACACTGATTGTCTTAGTCTCAACTTGTCCCCTGGTCAGAAGAGGCAGATGGATCTCTAAGCTTCATTCCAATTATTTATTTTATTTCAATTTTTTTTATTTCAATTTTAAACCAAAAAGTTCTTACAGTTTATTTTTTAAAAAGATTTCAAAACTTTTTTGACAATCAGTTGAATAAATTCCTCAGATTTAAACAGGGTCAATCACTGTTCAAACTTATGACAATATTTATAAAGCATATTCCATAATTTTACTGAGAAAAAAAAAACCTACCTTAAAGGCAAAATTATACTTCATATCCTATTTATACACTACAACATAGAAAATAAGTGCAGATTCCCTTCCTGGCTTATAGAAGCACTCTCTGAGATAGAGTCAACTGAAAACCTTAGGACTATGACCGTGGCCAAAACATCTAGCCTGTCTCTCTCTGCCCTGTCTCTGAAAGCTGCAGACAGTTCCAAATGAACAGTCACCTACGACGTACCCACACTCCCCACGCTGCATAGGACTTCTCCATTACAGAGAATGATTATACCAGGAAACTGTTTTCCTGAGAAAAATCTAGCATTACTGGAAGATTACTTATAGACTAATGTACAGTCACGGAAAAAAAACCTTATAGTAGCCGAGAGAACCAGTGTTAAATCAGGAAAACTAATGGTACCTCTGACTTCTCTAAGTGTATTACCTATTTAAAGCTGATAGCAATTAACAATCTTCATGGGCAGAGCTAAACTTTAGGTTAGAGTAAATACTTATAGTAGTTCAGGGTTGAGGTCTATCAACTTTTCAGGTTTAGGGAAGAAGAAAAGAAAAAGGTTTCAAGATCACATGGGCCCTGGCCAGGTAGCTCAGTTGATTAGAACATCGTCCTGATATGCCAATGTTGCAGGTCAATCCCCAATCAGGTCACATAAAAGAAGCAATCAACCACCAGTGTGGCTCAGTGGTTGCATGCCAACCTATGAACCAGGAAGTCGTGGTTCAATCCCCAGTGGGGGGCATGCAGGAGGCAGTGATGGATGATTCTTTCTCATCATTGATGTTTCTATCTCTCCCTCTCCCTTACTCTCTGAAATTAATTTTTTAAAAAATGTATATATTTTTTTAAAGAAGCAATCAATGAATGTATAAATAAGTGGGACAAATAGATATTTCTCTCTCAAATCAACCAATCAGTCAATCAATTGATTTTTAAAAAGATCATATTGAGCCTAGGAGAGAAAGACAGCAGAAAAAATAATCTTCATTGAACTATCTACAACACATGCTTTCATCATAACCATATAACACTATGGAATATCTTTTTGTTTTGATGATATTCTTTTTCTTGTGAACTTTGTCCTTTAACCATATTCATTGTAAAGAATGAGAGTCTGAATTGAGAACTGCAAGAGCAGTGAGTATACATGAAAATGCTTTACAAAGGATTAGAGAGATTTCAGGCACAAGCAGACCTGTGTTTCCTGAGAAGCAAAAGGAGAGATTTGAACACTAAATGGTCTCTTCAATTTCCTCTGGCTCTCAAATTCTCATAATTCATACAGATAATATACTATAATGAAGATTACATATATATATCACTTACTGTTTCTTTTTAAAAACATTTATGGATACAGCTGTGTTTTTCTAAATGTCTCATTAGTAATACTCAGTCTTGTAAGTCTGGTTCCATAATAATCTATAATGTAACTGCTTCCATCCGAAGGTCCAACAATCTAGAAAAAATATTTCAAAATTACTCATTTTACCAAAGATATTTTCACAACACTTTGAGTTTATTTTTATAGTTGCTAATGAAATTATTTCAGTAGTACCAATAATGTAACTCAAACTAACTCAAGCAAAAATAAGTAATTTAGTGTCTCATAGCTAAAGAAGATACGAGGGAAGTTCACAGGGTCAAATGAACTACAGGAACCAAGGCCTCGAGGATTGAAATTCCTTGCCCATGAGGACTCTGGTTTGGCCTCCCTGCCTCTTTGCGTAGCTCTGCTTGCCTTCATTCTCCCAACAGCTCCAGATTCTTCTTCCAGCTCAGCAGATCCCAACAGAAAGAAAGTAAGATCTTCCTCCTCGGTGTTTATATACCAAGCCCAGGGAAGAACTGTGACCTGCTTGGTATATATGCCTATTGCTGGACAAATTACTGTACCCAAGAGAATAAGATTAATAGGATTGGCCAGGCCAGACTTCCTGTGGGAGAAAAGGCAGTGTGACTGTCCTACCAGAACCACATGGAATGGAAAAGGAAGAGGATAGAAAGAAAGAAAAAAATCCCCATGCTCATTACAATCATCTTGTTCTCTTAATCACATTTTTGGGAATACAATTAACATGATCTCTGCAAATGATCCTTCAAAGCAGCAATCTTCAAAATGTTGCTTTAGGGACCTAGCCAGTTTGGCTCAGTGGACAAAGCATTGGCCCTCGGACTGAAGGGTCCCAGCTTCAATTCCGGTCAAGAGCATGTACCTCAGTTGCAGGCTGGATCCCCAGCCCTGGTAGGGGCACATGTGGGAGGCAACCAATGGATGTGTCTCTCTCACATTTTTGTTTCTCTCTCTCTCTCTCCCCTCCCTTCCACTCTCTCTAAAAGTCAATGGAAAAATATCCTTAGTGAGGATTAACAACAACAAAAATGTAGCCTTAGGGATCACAAAGATTAACCAAGGTATATGTGAGCCCAGATAGTTCTAAGGGAATCAGTTTTGAGATTCTTAATTCGATTATGTACTCTTGGTAAAAATGATATCCCTGATGCTATCTATGGTGGAAGCATCAGGCTAGTACCCTTCCCCACTTCCTTTTCACTGTGGCTCTTTCTCCAACTTGACAACAGTAAAGACACCTCCCATCAAAGCATATCCAGAGTTTTATGATGACACATTGCCTTGAGGTATAAAAACCTCTGATGTGCCTAACAAAGAGATAATTCAAAATACTGGACTTGGGGAAATCTCAGTTAATTAAGAGACTAAAAATATGCTCTTCCATTTCTTGTTCAAAGGGATGCATTCCTAATATCACTTTACTTTTTTTTTTTTTGCTTAAAATTATGTGCTAAAATTTGTAACCTTTATGCTGTTTTGATCAATTGTATATCATTAGTAATCACAATGACAACTCAATCCAGAAATCACAGAAAATTTAAAACCTTTTCATTTTAATGAGTAAGATGCTTCCCCTGTCCTGATATTTTAAATTCTGTGGTATTTATATTCTGTTAGGTACATTTTTTAGTTAATGTAAGTTTTATTTAAATATATCAATATTTATAAACCAGAAATTACACCCTTTGCAACTATTTAAATTTATGATGAAAACTTAAATGTCAACTTAAAAACGTACAAAGGGTAGGAATTTTTTTAAAATTCTTGTAGGGGTTAAACAACTGGAGTTTAACACTGCTGTAGAAAATTCTTTGTTTTTAAAATGAATTTGGTTCTAAAAACTATTCAACAAACACTTAATTCCTATAGTATTAGATACTGTGCTAGGTGTTATACACATAACAGCAGAGGATACAATCTCCGCCAACAGTTAAAGATGAATGTCAATATTCAAAGAACACAAGCACTTATGTGCTAGATACCAGGCTGGGTACTGTAATGCACTCTGACTTACTTTGTAAAGTTTAAATTGATTTGGCTTCCCATTTATGAATGTTACTAATGAATTTAAGTAAAACTTAAAACTTTTTTAGTGGCCAAACTCACAGAGAAAACCACTCTAAGAATTAACACAAGAAAGAGAAAAACGGATGACTAGAAGTAACAACATGTTTTGAGACTGTATAAGGGAAACAAAAAAGGCAGTAGATATAGTTTACCAAATCAAACGGTAAAACATTGCCTAATTTGGAATATGTGCATAGATTAGAACTGGGCCTACTGTCCTATTATCATTTTCTTCCTATGCCATCTTCTTTGACAATCTCACTTCTGTTGAAAAAGAAAGTATTCAGAAGTTGGAAATAAGGACAATATATGACAGGGTGACCCTTTAATAGCATGCATTTCTTATAAGCTCATCTGAGGCTCACGTGGCTCTCTCAGGAAATAAAACTATTTACCTAAAACCCGATTAGGGCCCAGATGCTTTATAATCTTGTCAAGTTAGCAGTTAACATGAAGAAAAATGACAGGGTCATTTTTGTTTTGTTTCCCCCGTCCTGCAGAAAAGATGCCCTCAGAGTTTACAGTTTTATTATCTGCAAATGCATGATCCAATTTTGTCTCTACTTTAGCAAACTATTACAGATTTCTTTCCCTCAAACTCCAAGACTCTAGTTCCTCAGCACCTAGTTCTATCATGGTAATTCCAATCCTCCCTCCAGAGACTGTTCAGCCTGGGCCTATAACGGAATTGCCTGTGAGATGAGTTCTGTGGGGGTTATTTGCCCTTAAGAAGACATGTGTGAGAGGAAGGTAACTATGTAAAAAAGTGATGCCTCTGATGATAACTATGTAAGAAAGTGATAACCAAAAGACCTGAAGATGGCAAAGAGAAAGAGGAAGGAAAGAGAGAAGAGAAGGAGGGAATGAAGGGAAGGAGGAAGAGAGGAAGAGGAATAAGGAAGGAAAGATTTGGGTCCTTTATTATGTCCTTCATAATAAATTGTCCTTCAGGTCTAAATTAGCAAATCTTAGAACTACCTTTATCTCCAGATTCTTGGTATCCTATATAATAGAAGCCTAATATGCTAAAGTGTCCAACTGTTTCATTCAGCCATTTGACCAGTTGCTATGACATGCACTGACCACCAGGGGGCAAACGCTCCCTATGGTAGGTTAGCTTGCTGTTGGGGTCCAGCGGATGAGAAATTAGTTTGTACAACGGATGTCAAGTCCCTGGTATGAGAAGCCCTAAAACCAAAAGAAAGCAACTTCTTTCCCTCTCTATATTAGTTTACTGCGGCTGCTATAACAAATTATCACAAACTTAGTGGATTAAAACAATATAAATTTACTTTCTCACAGTTCTGGAGGCCAGAAGTCTAAAATCAAGGTATTGGCACAACCGTGTGTCCTAGACAATGTTAAGGGAGAATCCACGGTAAGCTTCTTCTAGCTTCTGGCAGCAATCAGCACTCCTTGGCATTCTGTGGTTTGTGGCCACATCACTCCAATCTCTGCCTCTGTCTTCACACTACCTTCTTTTCTGTGTCTGTGTCTTTTCCTCCTCTACTTCCTATAAAGACACTTGAATTGAATTTAGGGCCCACCCAGATAATTATTTGATTTAAAGACTGGTTAGCATTAATCCTTAATGACCAACACAAACATCACTTCTCAAGAAATGAATAATATTTCCCATTATATCTCCTGAGGAAAACAGAGCATTGGGATTAGTTTCAGAACCAGTTTAAGATATTCTTTGTTTTATGAACATTCCTTTCATTCACAAAGTAAAAATCTGCCCATAGCATAAGTGAACCGAGAGCTACCTAATTAAGGTCACATGACACAAATGATCAGTCTCCTCAGTTTTCCAGTTTATTTCCCCAATTAATCACACCAGGGTTAAATAAATAATACACTGAGCTATTTGGAAGACTTGCTATCTACAAAATGTCCACTGGTTTTTATATATTGCTGTCCTACATCTAGTGAACTATCAAGGACTTTGACCAACTTTTCCCATGCTGGTAATAGATTTAGGGTGATTACATGTTTAGTCATTCTTTTCATCAATAGCATGTTATTTCACAGGACAAAACTGGCTTATACAGAAATGAACTCTAACCCTAACTTTATTTATGCTCTGAACTGAAAAGTCTTTTAAAATTTTTGGTAAAATTCAAAGTACTTAAGATAGTCAGGTTAACTTTTTTATTTTAAACCTGCAGTTGTCAAGGAAATATTTTATGTCAAATAATAAGTGAAATCTTATCATCAGATCACACTCTTGGGATAGTTAGATCATAAGTTCCTTTAGGGCAAGGATCCCAATTTATTATACCGAATTGTGCTCATTAAACTCATTTTCATTGATGGCATAAAACCTAATATTTACAATTTATCATGCCAACTTTTATTTGCATTCATTACCTCTCAAGTGACCATATAAAATTTAGAACTTTAAGGCCCTAAAAAAAAAAAAAAGCAATCACTTTTTTAAAACTACCATTTTTAGCTTCTTATCTTCTCTGTAACTGGAACAAAGCCACACTTTCACAAGGTATGATGCATACAGTTCAAATCAGCAAAAGTTTTTGAGGGCATACTCTATGTTTAGCATACTACTAGTGCTGTCCAGGATTAATAAGTCTTTTTTTTTTCTTCAAGAAGTTTATGTGTGAAAGTTCAGATCTGTTGTAAAAGTTAAGAAATAATATATAAGCAATATATAATCCAATGCTAAAATGAGTTACATATATTAAATGCCACACTGATGAGATACTTTATAAATTTACTTATAAAATTCATAAATATCTTGGAGATTATGCAGCTTTTCTGAATTTCTGCTTATGTAGTTATTAGTCCTTTAAGGAAATCTACTCTGTAATGTCAATAGAAATGAAAATGAAAGTGATTTCTTCCATAATATATAGAATTTTTAAAAATTGTCACAAAGAACCCAACATACTTCCTTCTAACAACTTCCTATATTAAAACTACCCTTTTTCATCTATCTGATTTGTGGCTGTCTTGTCTCCATTTAACAGAAGAAACTTTCTTTTCTTTTTGTTTGACAGAGTATGTATCATGGGTTTAGGTGTAATTTAAAATGTCCAGATTGTGTGAAAAAAGAGGTTTAAATGGAATCCAAATATGCTATTTTTTCTGATTAAAAAACCTTAAATTGTCTAATCCTTCATGATTACACAAACATATACAAACACAAAAGAATGAGTGTTTTAAAATCTTTGGAAATGCCTTATGAATAATTATATAGTAGTTATACACAGTAGTTACCTATAACTGAAAGACAGTAGCCTACACATGTATCACTGATTTAGTTTTTTGGTTGAATGCACAAAATAACTGAATTAATTCTATGTATTGTTTCATGCCATTCATTCACATAGGGCCATTTGCATATTTTTAATAACAACAACAACAAAAAGAAAGAAACTTTCAAGTTTATTAACAAGTAGATAAACTCATGGAAATATTTTCAGTATATATAGCAACATGTAAAGCTTACTTTAGCAATGTGTGATTATACTCTTTGGTTCAAAGATGAAATAACTAGAGCTATTTTTTTAAGAGGATTTTCTGGGTTTGTGTTATAAACACTGTGAAGCAAAGTATGTTTTTATAGGTCTTGAATTCATGCACAATATGTTTCTGGGATCACAGCCCAATAGAAAAACACTACAATTCACTAGGGAATAATATTTAATGGAAAAAAATCAGGGATAGAGAAAATAAAGAAGGAAAGAAGAGTAAACAAAAAGATCATGAGAAGTTGGAAAAAGATATATTTGAAACAGAGTTTCTGATTTTTATAGTAAAATCTTATTTGATTTGCTGAAAAAAAAATTTTTAATATAGTCAACATCACATGTTAAGTATATCAAATGACATTTAAAATAAGGCTACAGGTCTTATTTGGCTGCATTTGAAAACTGATTTATTTTTCCTCCAATCTAAAAGCAATCTAAAGTGGCCATACCTATTGAAATGTCTTATTTAGGGATATTTATTGCAGAATTTCAAACATTCTAAATCTACCTCAGTAATTTTTAATGTAATAGTCTCAATGCCAGATCTTCAAGAAAATAACTATTTGTTCTGAAAAATTTAGGCATAAATGTACCAGGAAGCAGTAGCTAAATCGAATAAGCTCTATAATTTGATATCCTATATAATAAAAGGGTAATTATGCAAATTGCCCCCTCAACTAGGAATTCAACCAGAGTTTGACCAGGGGGCAGGGCTGGCCAGCCCAGGGCCCCTCCTCCCAGTTGCCCCCATCCCCGACTGCCTCCCACCCCGATTGGGGGCGGGGTGGCTGGTCAATCTCCTGGGTCCCCTCTGGGCGGACCAGCTAGACCCCACCCGTGCAAGAAAGCTATAATGTAATGATATCACCAAAGAAAGTACCCAGTGTGAAAATATTAACTAAATGGTTGACACTGAATTCTGGATATCTGAAAGAATCCCAATAATACATTAAGTTCCTTGGATCCTCAATTAAAGTGAGAAACCATCTCAAAGCATATGTGCCAAGTACCTTAGCCTCTTCATGTCTGCTTGCCTGTCCCACAATCAGAGAAGGCAGGATATTTGGTTAAGCATGTTTATGAATAAAGATAGGAAAACTCCAACTTTAAAACCAAATATTTTCCTTATTTAATTCTGGTATCTTATTGGTCCATATGTTGCCTCCTCCTCACAGTATGGTACCCTCCTCACAGTATGCTACCAAAACCTCCTAGACTTTGACTTTCTTTTAAAGCATAAGGATAGCATCAAGCAGACTGAACTGAGGAGTGGAAATACTGTATGAGAAAGAATACAAAACTGATGATGATCAAAATACATACTGACACACTTGTTGAAGAAATTAGGTGCTCCATAAATGCTTACTGAAATGCTGTTTTGTGACATTTGTTATGATAAATTCATCTTTCTCTAATTTAAGAATCCTCATGAGTTAACCACAACCAGTTCAGTATAATTTAATAGAAAACATCTGGTGGCACTTTTAAATGCCTAGGGATAGCATTTCACAAATTATGCCTGTCTCCACAGCACTGTAGTAGCAAAAAATGAGGCAGACACAGAGAAACAGAGATGAATGTCAGGAGAGTCCTGATACATCATTTTATTATATTGATTTGATCTTACGGGAGAACAGCCCCACTCTTCAATTATCTACAGAAAACCCAAACATTCCTTTTCTCTTTTTGTCTTAAGATAGATAGATTTCGGTTTCCATAATTTGCAACTAAAAAAATACTAATATTGAGTGCTTGTCCAATGCAAAAGAAAATCTTGTTTCTGCCTCCAGGTGTCCATATGTAAATATCAAATCCCATCAATATCCTAGTATATTAATTGATCATGTGTCTGTGACTATCAGTAAAAGAAAAATAAGTTTGAGAAATAACCCCAATCCTCCATAGAGATTCATAATACACACTATAAACGATTCTGAGAAGTTATCCAGTAAAAAAAAACTCTTTAAATCATTTGAACTCAAATTTACAAATCATATTTGATCATAGAATCCCTTTTTTATGAAGTTATATCTTTTAGAACTACTAATTGGAAGAGCACAAATTGGAAAATGCTACTTGGAAACATGGCCATGATCCCTTGGATATAGCATCTGAAGAAAAATTGAAAAAGCATTCTTAACTGCTTCCTGGCATATTTAAAATATATCAGAAGATCACAGACATCAAATTTGAATGTAAAAATAGTTCATCTCCTAGATAAAAACTAACTTACAACTTGGCTGATGTGGCTCAGTGGTTGAGTGTCAACCTATGAACTAGGTCACTGTTTGATTGCCAGTCAGGGCACATGCTGGGTTGGGGGCTTGATCCCCAGTAGGGGGCGTGCAGAAGGAAGCCTATCAATGATTCTCTCTTATCATTGATGTTTCTCTCTCGCTCCCTCTCCCTTCCTCTCTCTGAAGTCAATAAAAATGTATTTAAAAATAAAAACAAAAAAATAACTTACCTGCATTGAAATAAGAATGAAGTCAATTAGGCTCCCAATTCCACAAAATCCTACAGTGCAAAACTTTAACAAACCTAGAAAAGAAGGTAAGATAATTTACACATGGGAAGTCTTATAATTATTAGCAAACTTTTCCATTTCCCAATAAATCATTACATATAATACAAACTCTTTATATCAAGAATATAAAATTAACACTTAAAAAATCAAATCTTTTGCCGAAACCGGTTTGGCTCAGTGGATGGAGCGTCGGCCTGCGGACTGAAGGGTCCCGGGTTCGATTCCGGTCAGGGGCATGTACCTGGGTTGCGCGCACATCTCCGGCGGGGGATGTGCGGGAAATATGAGAAAAGTTTAAAGGTTCCTCTATATAGAAAAACCACAACAAAAATAAATATTAGGAACTGAAAGAAAAACTCAATGTAATCTTACAAAATTTCTTAAGAGAAAAGGCATGAGGAAATAAATCTTTAAATCTCAGTAAATAAAAGGTAAAGAACAACTTTACTCCTAAAATCTTTATTTACTCATTTAGACTTAATATATTATGTCTAAATTGTAATATACATTTAGTAGAATGTCCAAATCAAGACTGACAAGGCACAGGAAAAATAATCAGGAAAAAATACTGATATTATAGTTAAATTTTAAAAATGTATTAGTAATCTAATTATCTTGAATTTATCCTATACTTTTTTCTAGCATCTCATGTTTATTAGTTCTACAACAATTCTGTGCACTATAGATACACCTCTGTTCTTGGTCCCAACCTTAGAGGTAAGGTACTAAATAGATGACAATACAGCATATACAAGATACAACACGAAAACTTGATGATGAAATCAGAAGAGGCAGATTGGGGGTGAGGGTGGAATGAGTAATCTCTTTTCTATATTTAAACTTGAGTTGCTTTCCAGACATCCCATTTGAGACATAAAAAATGGTATGAAGCACGACTCTACGTGAAAGGGCAGTTCTAAGTTCCAACTACATACAGATGCCGGCTAAAATCACAGAGTGGATGAGATCACCTCTTGCACACAATTTGGAAATACACAAAGAAGACTGAAATATGTAGGTACATTATATTACTTTGCCCCTTCCTAATATTACACAAATATCAGAATAATGTTGTAAGTACTAGATTAATACATGTTGGAAATAATTTAAAACTATTAAAATATAAAAATTATATGAAATTCTTTTAGTTTTCTTCAAAACACTTATTATCTACTTAATATTTTATATTTGATTACTGTCTCATAGAAGCCCCATTAGGGAAGTGTCTTTTTTTCTTTTTATTGATCTTAGAGAGAGGGGAAAGGAGAAAGCAAAAGAGAGAGATACATCAATTTGTCGTTCCACTTATTTATTCATTTATTGATTCTTTTTTAAAAAAATATATTTTTATTGATTTCAGATGTGCCCCTCACCCCCGCCCCGGGTCTCCCAGGGCTATAAAAAGAAAAGAAAAAAATTAAAAAAAATATATATATATTTTATTGATTTCGGTGCCAATCACACGCATGAGGCGTGGCTCTTACCGGTAGGACTTTTTAATAGAGAAGAAATTATTTCCTTGCATTTCTGATACAGCTACAGCAAATGCCACCAGATCTGAAATTTAAAAAGAACCTGGGACTCTTCAGTCCACAGGCCGACGCTCTATCCACTGAGCCAAACCAGCCAGGGCTATTGATTGATTCTTGTATGTGCCCTGACCAGAGATCAAACCCGCAACCTTGGTGTATGGGGAAGACATTCTAATGATCTGAGGTACGCAGACAGGGCTGGGAAGCATCTTTTATCTGTTTAATATACTCCTGTGTCTAGTACCTACGACACTGTCTGGCACATGACAGATGATCAATATTTGTTGAATGAACGAATAAATTTTTTCAGCCTTTCTGTTTCCTAAAGATCCCTAACTTTTTATCCATCACCTTACATAACAACTCCTTTAATTACTTTTTCACTAGTTGCATTTTATTGTGCCCAAGGAACAGTCAGTCAGTATACTCACTCATTGTATTTCTGAAATGTATCCCTCTCCACCTAGCATTTATAAATTTGGAAACATTTCCCTTCCTTCAATTTGTTTATTAAAAAGTATTAAGAATGGTCCAAAAAAAGTTTGTCTTTAATTATCTGCTACTCTATGAAGACAATATAACCATGTCAGTCAGAGCCTTTGCCCTTATCATGCCCTCTTCCAATGATGTCTTCCTGTAGCTCTTCTCATTTCTCAAGCTGCTTCTTTAGAGAAGTCTTCCTAATCTGCCCGTCTAAAGCAGCATGTCATCTGCAACCCCTCTCCCACCCGAAACACTCTATCACATCTCCCCTAATTCCCTCATGGTGCTGAATAGATCGGTAACAGCCTCATTCACTGGTTTGCTCATTTCATTGTCTTCCATTGCCAGGTAAATTCCTAAAGGCAGGATCCTATCTGTCTGTCTGTCTTATTCAAGTCAATTCCTTGAACAGTAGTACAACAGACAGCAAGAGTTTGATAAATACCTGTTGTATGACTATCAAAATACCAGATACAATCTAAATGTCAAACAGAGAGGAATTGTCTCAAAATATCCAGGTACATCTAACAACAGGTAAAAATACTACACAACTGTTTAAAACAATGATATGAAATGGTATTTGTTGGTAAGTATCCTTCGCTAAACAGAAAAAAAATAGTGAGATCATTAAAATCTAGATTTCTGCTGCTGGACCCCTTTTTAAGAGTGCTTCAAAATGAACAGAAGTTCCTGTTCAGACAAAATACTAGATAAGGAAATGTGTGTTAGGAACTTCGGTAAATGTGAGAGAACACATTTAAAGAAACTAAGAACAGATCCAGATGATTTTTAAACATTTAAGGAACTGCAAACTAATCTATAGTGACAGAAAGCAGACAAGTGCTTGCTTGGGAAAGAGCAGGATAAAGAGTGCCAAGAGGCAGGGATTAACAAATGGGCATGAGGAAACTTTTGGGAGTGACAGATATGGTCATTATCTTGATTATGGTGATTGCTTCACAGGCATATACATATGTCTAACTTATCAAAATGTACATTTTAAATGTGTACTTTATTATATATCATTTATACCTCAATAAAGCTGTTTAAAAAGATTTAAATAACTAAGCTGACTGTTAAAGAAAAACTTCAAAGTTTAAAATCATTACATTGATTTATATTAAGTCTCACTCCAAATGTGTGATATTAATTAACTATGGTCCATTTATTTCTATAGATTTAAGATAAAGGATAACTTAACTAGTGAGGTTGCTAATAATACTATCTTAAATTTGTTTTAGCTTTCAAATATAAAAATACTTCATGAAAGTAAGACAGGAAGGACATTAAGGATTAAAAAAGAGAGAGACAAAGTAAAAAACTTAGGCTAGTACATGGCACATGGAAAACATTTGATAAATGTTAGCCCAGCTGCTACTTGTGCTACCACAATTTCTACTACTACTACACTTATTATCATCATCAAGAAATTTAGACAACATAAATCCACATTCTTTATATTAGCATCATCTAACCTAATCAACATAGTTTCATCTCTTGCAAATTCCTTCTGCCTGTGTTACAGCCCAAACAACTAAAGTTTTCTTAATGTGCCCTGCTCTTGTTATCTCCTTCACCTAACTCTGCATTTATGTGTGCTACACTGTTCTCTGCCTTGCTCCTTCCTTTTCCCCTCCACTATTCCCAATCATCTAGCTGACCCCTAATAATATTCTAAACCTTCTAGAAAGTCTTCTCTAATGCCCCCAGGATGAATTTAATGCCATTCCTAGATATTCCTCAGCACCTTTAAGTTGCAGCATAGCACATATCCCATAGTATGATTTATTATGAATTTATTATTTGTCTGTCTTCCCTTATGCTTCTGTGAGCAACTTGAAATCAGGGCTGTGTCATGCCCATGCCTAGTCAATATGACTACAGAAGGAACAAACTATATCAAATAAGTTATCTCACTTGTAAATAAACACTAATCAACTTGGACAAAAAATAGCATACATTCTAAACAGCATTTATTAAAACCAACATAAACCGTTAATCTCATAGATTTCATTATTTTGAGCATCAATACCAATTTTTTAAAAGATGGGATATTTGTGAACTACTAAGAGTAGATTGATTTCTTCTCCCTGCCCCCCACCACACCCAAATAAAGTCATCTTTGTACAAACCCTATTTATTAACTTATTATGGAAAGAAATATCAGCTTTAGATTTTAAAAAATTGTTTTAAAATTCCAAATAAAAGTGTTTCTAATCAAGAAGAATCCATTTTTATACTGAACCATTACTATTATAGATATACTAGGGGCCCGGTGCACGAAATTCGTGCACTTGGGGG